GGAGAGAAGCTCTGATGAGCAAGAAGGAAGGATTGAATCTTTTCTGGGCATTCTTCCAGACAGAAACTTGGCCAGGCATGTCACTAAGGACAACTGTGTCTGCCTTGCCTTTGAGCCATCTGAAATACAGCAGAGTGAAGCATTTGGGAAAAGTTCCACATTGTATTGAGCAGCTCTCTATTTTTTAATACAGCATGCAACTGAGCTTTGATAGAGAATAAATCCAGTGGGGCTTCTAAGCTTTTTGATTGTGATCACAAGTGAGTCTTTTTTGTTCTCTGGGCTTCACTTTTACCAAATGTAAAATGTTCCTACTTAGGGAACTCAGGTGGATTAAAGGAGACAATGGATGTACAATGGAGCATGATGTCAAACTGGCAGATTCCTCTACCATTTCTTCATTAGCAATTTCCATCACAAATTCCTTATTTTATGCTTTTGCCTGTTTATGGATTCTTTTTCTGTGCAATGCTTAACTCTTGGCATGGGAATACCTTTGTAGCCTTTTGCTTCTTGGACTCAGTGCTTACGCACATGCTCACTTTGGGTTTGGGCTTGGACTTCCCTCTGTGAATTTATACTCACATCTCACAATCAGCATCGCCTTTGTCTCAGCCTTAACCAGAGAGAACCTCCTGATCCAAGCTGTGCCACAGACACTTGGCTAGCCTATAGCGCCAGCCATGTGTAGGTGGACGTTTGTGCAAGGACATGGCACTATTCCTAGGTGAGGTTGGCATCCTTCTGGGGCTGGCAGGTGCTGAGAGAAGTGTGCAGCTGCTGGTTGGACCATCAGATTACCACACAAGTGAAAGTGTAAAGTGTTCTCCAGCAGATCCTACATTTTCTCTCCCACCTGCTCCTCCCTCCCCACCTCAGTCTGGCATTGACCATGCTTGCTGAAGAATAACAAAACTTCCTGATAGCACTGGGTCAGGAGTGTCCCCATACACAGAATTTTAATGAAAGCTTTCTGCTTTATTACACTGAAATAGATATTAATTAACTAGCTTATATAGTTTATTGAATACTTTTCCCATTTCTGTAAGCTATTAGTATATATGCAAGAAGAGTTTATGCATATACTGAGATATCTCAGCATTGTTTTATTGTTCTTTTTTTTCCTTTTTATTGAGTTTATTAGTACAATCTAGGTATACAAATACAGTTACATTCATCATTGGGATTCTGTACCTTTACATAATAGATCTTGATTCTCATTTTTCCCCTTGTCCCTGCCCTCCCTTCACCCCCTCCTCCCCTCCCCATTTACAAACACTTTATTTCCATTTTTTCAGTTTCTCATAATTTTTTCCTCTCCCTTATTACCTTTCCCCC